CCCCCACACACACACACACATATGAGATGTTCATCAGGAGATTGCAGAGACCAACCAGCACCACGAAATGCTTCTGGTGGCTCACGAAGGAGTTTTCCCTTTGATGGAACAGCTTACAAAAGCCCTGAGCCCTGCTCCTGCTGCCAGAGAGTATCTGTCCCAGTTCTGGGAGGAACTGGGCACTCGGAGCACGTGTCTGGGCAGACAAAGCCTCCTGCAGTCAGAGGCTTCAGCCCTTTCCCTCCCTTGGGCTCTGACACATCCCTCCTCCAACTGACTTGATTCTCCAACCTAGAAAACCAGATCCCTCCCAGCCACAGGAATGCAGATGGCATCAGCTCATGTGGGGCCTGGAGCTGGGGCACAGTGTGGGATGCCCGTGGCCAGAGGAGCAGAGTCAGCTCCATTCAGCACCTCCCTCCAACCCGCAGCCCCTGCAGACATTCAGGCCACGCAGCAATGGAGCACAGCGTGGGACAGGCAGGATGCAAGAATCAAAGTCCTTTCTCTCAGACACACAAACCAGATTTGAAGCAAATTTGGGTAAAGGAAGCAGTGCCCTTCCTGCGGGGGTTTCCAGCCTGCTGCTGACTAAAGGAAATGCCTTCGTACACAGTGTCAGCAGCAACGCAGTTCCCCTCAAGAGGGGGAATCCTTTCTTCTTTCAGTTTTTCAAGAGGAAAAGGGCTCTGAGCAGCTTCCATCCAGAACACAGACTTTAGAGTAGTTCTAAACCAATTCAGCTGCTTTTATCACATGGCCCAGCCACAACCTGCTCTTTGACAGCACCAGGAGCAAGGTACCTGCTCCAGGTCTGCACACAGCTCTGGCTGGTGGGAAAAGCTCTCCAGCACACTTCAATCCCAGTGACTCCTGCTCAGGCAAACACCAACTTCCCTCCTCAACCATTCTGATGCGAGATGAGCTTCCAACCAAGCAACAACTGTGAAGAGATTGTTTCATCTCCCAGCCACAAGCCAGGGAATTTCTTTCCTCAGAAAAAAGGCCAGATCACAACCCACTGCTTACTGTCCACCAGGTTCTTCCTTAGAAACAGGAGGAATAGTGGAGCTGGGGCAGTTCTGTGAGGAGAGCCCCTTCCCCCAACAGGTATTTAAGCACTTCCTAGGTATGGATGGGCTGTATTTAGACATTGTCTCTTGCACCACCATGTTTTAGGCACTAAAATGTGTTTTAGGGGCTCTAATATATATTTCCTCCCTTCCTTAACCATTTTATTGCTGGTTTTATGGTCTCTGAGTATTACTGAAGGGTTATGCTGGGCTGTTCCAGGTTGCACTCTGTATTACAAGATATTAAAAGGGTTTTCTGCAATCAAAAAAGCACCATTTCAGCACCAGTTTCACTTAGCCCACTGCTAAAAAAGAGCTGCTCAGGGTCCATGGAGAAAGGGGGAAAGAACAGAAGAACATCTGAAGGGGCAGCATCTCCCTTTTCAAGGACATCACCACGCATCCCACACCCAGCTGAGACACAAAAGGCAATAACCTGGAGAGAAGATAGCAGGAGAGCGGCCTGTGATGGCCTCTTGGCGCTTCCGGGCAAACTCTGTTATCTTCCAGATGAAAACACCATCGTAGGTGGAAGCTTCCATGTTGCGGATCTTCTCCTCCATCTCAGCCATGGCCAGATCTTTGAGCCCAATGCTCCTTTCCAGCTGCCGGACCTGCTCAGTGGGATACACGGTGCAGCCTGGTTAGAAACATGTACTGCTGTGAGACCCAAGAAAGCCAGTAGCCACCAGCATCCCATCACTGGAGAGAGGCTTTGGACAAGGGCCTGTAG